TTAAACAACATGAGCTGCAGCATCAGACTGTCTCGATTCCGCTTTCACTCACTGTTTGGCGATCCAAAACCCCGTATTTATGAATGCATATGACTCGTCTTCTGCCAGGTATGCTCTGCAACTGCCTTCTCCAGCATCTTGCAGGCCAGCCGTATGCGACAATGATTCCTGGTCCAGGGTCTCACTACTTACTACTTAGGGCTCACTGCTTCCTGGGCAGTATGTCTTACGGTTACATGGGAGCCTTCGGAGCAGTATGTCCTCCGGAGCAGTACATATATACTTGGGCCGATTGAACAATAGATGGGGCTCGTCGGATTATGAGTCTGAGGGGCATTCGAGCTCACATTGCGATGGTTACGGCTGCTCGCCAGGGGCATCCAGTTGAGGTTGAGTGAGCTACAAGCCCACTCGTGCAAACGAATGCGACTCCGCCTTTTGCCCCCAATTCAGGTTCAGGCAATTTGTGATGTGTGAACGGAACATTAAGAAGTCCATGGGAGTCCGCCTTTTGCCCCCAAAAGGCGGACTCCCCCACCAGGATTACTTTAGAACAATCCGACACAACTAACTCCGTAACATAACCACAAACCCCAGCACCCTAAGCCCTAAGCCCCTGATTCGCAGCCAACCAGACCCTCAGCCACGGAAATCCAGGCCCCAAAAGATACACTGGGACCCCGAAGTTATTTGGAATTCTTCGCATGTTGAGTGTCGCAAGCCATGTTGCATCCACGTCCTTGCACAGGCCGGGCCTCGCCGGGCCGGTCAGCAGAAGCCTTGGCATGCCGTCATTTCTTTGCTTCAACATGCAATGTGCAGCTGGTCACTACATGTGCATTCCGGAAGCCGTGAGATGTTGACAATTCCAAATTGGCAAATAGCTGGTTGTGCTCAAGATAAACCTTCTAAACAACAACTCGAATACCTTTGCTTCAGGGTTCACAGCTAGAGGTACTTCGCTGGGCCTGAGGTCGAATGTAAAAAAGCAGTCAGCCTGTTGGGCCCTAAGCAACGATGTCCTGGGGCTCGTGGAGTGATACCACCTGGAAAGAGGGTGGGGGCCATTCTCAATGGACCTCAGAATGGGCCAACAGCGAAAACTGGCAAGACGCCTCCTGGGATGCTCAGTGGCAAGAGGCGGCCTGGGATGATACCGAGTACACAGAGGCTGGGCGCAACAGCTATCACTGGCAAGAATCGGCCCGGGATGATACCAAGGACACAAAGGCTGGGCACAACCCTGAGTCGGCCCCGGTTCGGGATGATACCAAGCACACAGAGGCTGGGCACAACCCTCAGTCTGGCAAGGAGGCTAAGGGCCACACAGCAGATGCAGAGATGGCGAGCTCCAGTGCCAAAGCCTCGGGCAATAATCCGGGGCCGTCAAAGTGGTCTAGCTGGCTTTCTGACGAGGAGTTCCTCCAGGTCCATGGTTATAGCCGACATGAGCCCAAGCCGAAGGGCAAAAAGCACGACTGGAATCAGTTGCAGCGAGT